CTACACAGGCAGACCCTGCCTCTAAAACAAAATGCAAACAGACACAACAGCAGTGGAACAGCCAGCCTCTCCTCATATTCACAACCAGGAAATACAAGTCTCTTTCCCAGGAACAGCCACAAAATTGGACTTCATCTTGCTGAGATTTTGTTATCCAGTTGGGTCACATGCCTACGTCTGAAGCCAACTACTGCTCTATTCAGAGTGGGTGGATGGAAAGACAGGCAGCTGTTTTACCAGGCTCCAGAGAGAGTGGGAAATGGGGCTCATGCTCTGGAGGAGAGGTTGGAGCACAGTACCAGGAGGGTGAGTGGGTCCTGGCCAACAAGAACAGGGGACCTGATGCTGTTAAGAGAATGTACTGCTCTTCCAGAGGACCTGAGTAGGGTTCCTAGTACCCATGGAGTGAGGGGACCCAGGTACTGCCCCCTCATCACCTGTAAGTCTAGCTTCAGGGGGATCAACTGTCCCTGGTCTCCAAGGGCACCTGCACTCAAGTTCATATTCCTACATGTGCACGTACACACACACACACACACACACACATACACACACAGGTATTCATATATCTTTAAAAATAAATAATAGTATAGTTGAAGTACAGCAGACTTCTGGCAACTGTACATATGGACATATTTGTTCCTGTGCTTGCCCAAGACAAGTGAAATCTTAAGCCAGTTTGCAACCTATGGGTCCAGTGGTTCAGACGGGCCTTGCGTCCTTCTGCAGTTTGACTGATGTGACACATGTCACCAAAGCTGGCTTTCCAGCTGAAAAAATACATGCTGTTTTCAATGGAGTCCTCTAGCTAAATACGGACAGAGCCCTATTTGGCTCTGGTGCTCGATAGTGAAGCTCCCTGTGCTGGTGAGTCTCCAATATTTCTCTCATTGTCTGTCTCCCAACTCACTACTAAAGCCTGTTCCTAGGTAGGCTTTACTTTGGGTTTTGGTTCCTTGAATGTTTAATGTTTTTGTTTTTGAGATGCTCTCACACTGTAGCCAGGTTACTCTAGAGCTCAAAACTAAAAAAGGTAGGTGGATAGATATCTATAGCACAGGCTGGCCTCAAAGTTGTGGCAATCCTCCTGCCTCAGCTTAGTGGGTATTTTTGGGTTTTTTTGTTTTTTGTTTTTGTTTTTTTCCTGATTCAGGGTTTCTTTGTGTATTCTTGGCTGTCCTGGAACTCACTCTGTAGACCAGCCTGCCTCTGCCTCCACAGTACTGGAATTAAAGGTGTGTGCCACCACTGACCGGCTGCCTCATGGGTATTTTAGATTGCAGGTGTAAACACAACACTCAGCTGAAAGACTTTGTTATCAGTCATTGACCCATGTGTAAATAAGCTTCAAAATCAGTAGTTGTCCACTTTCCAGGACCATTTGCATTTTAAAATGAAACACCAGACTCTATGCTGCCCACCTCACTAATCCTACCAGGTACGGCAAGCAGGACTTCCCAGAAGCCTAGCCACGGCTTCCACAGAAGCCTTCACCCACCAACCCTCCCGGCCCTTTCCTGAGGTCTAGTTTCAACCCTCCTAAACTGCCATTCAACCTTTGCTTTGTGGTGGGGCTGGGGGTGTGGATTCCATGAATCTTCTCATATATTCACTCAAAAAACTCCTCTTGAGTGTACCAACTGAGACAAATGTATATACATTTGTCCTGAGAACGCTGCCCACCCCCAAAGCTTCCAGTGGAATTTTGATACAGAAAACATTAACTTTACACAAAGTGCAGCTCATTGGGTCTAAAATGCTCAGCAGACACCGCTTTCCCTTCAGTACATGGACACCGCTTCGGAACACTGGAAATTTTCAAAAGCCCATTCCAGGTGGACCAGGGCGCCAGCAGAGTGGGTGGGGATTGTGGTTTCTATCTTGCTTTGGAATGTTGGGATTTGTTTTGGATGCTTTGAAAATCAGGTTGGAGATACACGAAAAAAACGAAGGGGTTCCTAACCAGATCAGGGTTAGAGGCAGCCCAGGACACCGTCTCCATGGTGCACAGGCCCAGACAGTTGGGAAACAAACAAAAACCCATGGTGGGAGTGGACAAAGACAAAAAACAATAAAACCAAAAAAAAAAAAAAAAAAACCCAAAATATGCCAAGGCCAAGAGATGGAAACCTAGGGAAGGGGCCATGTGGTGACACAGTGAAGAGAAGGGTGGGAGTGGTAGAGGGGCTTGGGGGCTGTGGTCATGTTTGTGTATGATGAACTGAATCCAACCCCAGGGCCTAAGGGTCACCATAGCAACGGGGAGGGTGAGTTTGGCAGATTCCATGCCAACACAAACCTCCTGGGCTTAGAAGTGAATGGGCGCAGATGTGATGCGGCCATGTTATAAAGAAAAACACCTGAATTGGGCTCTTTAAATCAACTCCCCACCCCTGGCCAGGCTTGGGAGGCAATTGCCATTTAATGGAATGAATTAATCATAACCAGCCCTGAATCACCAACCCTTCTCTTTCATCCACGCAAGCATGCTCTCTAGTTCACTGCATTGTGGGCCCTGCAAAGCCGGCTTCTTACCTGTGAGAGGCCCGCTTGACACTTCTCTAAATGCTGCATTCCAGACAATAATGGGTAGTTGACAGAGCTGGGGCGGGGGTAGGGGAGGGTGCTTCTCACAAGGCCAAGGCAGCCGGGCCCCAGTGTGAAGTGGTGGCACCTGAGTGCCCCCTGAGTGCCCCCTGACCTCCTCTGCCATCAACTACTGGGGCATGTTCGTCCCCAGTGGGCACATTAAACAGAACAGAGAGGAAGCTACTTCCCCCTCCTGCCCTAAGGTTCCCTTCTTGCCTTCTCCAGAACCTCGGTTCTAATAATGGCATCTGCCTTAGGCTTAGGGTAGGGGCTGAGTGGAGTTGAGTCTTTTGGGGCTATTCTCCTTCCTGCCTGATCATTTCCAGGTACCCAGAGGCCTTACAGCACCTCCCACAACCCTCTTCAAGGGCTACTGCATTCACTAGACAAAATAAGCACAGTGCTTCAGACCCATAGTTGGGAAATGTTTAAAATCTTTTAAAACCAGAAGGGGAGAGCTTTGGATATAGCTCCATGGTAGGTGCTTGCCTAGCATGTACAAGGCCCTGGATTCAAAACTCACAGTTGGAGAGATGGCTCAGTGGTGAAGAGCACTGGCTGCTCTTCCAGAGGAAACTGAGGTTATATTCCCATCATTCTACACAGTGGCTTATAACCTTCAGCATCTCTAGTCTCAGGGGACCTGGTACCCTCTTCTGGCCTTTATGAGTACTGCATATACATAATACACTGACATATATGCAGGCAAACACCCATACATAAAAAATAAATAAAAAATATAAGAGGCCGGACAGATGGCTCAGTGGTTAAAAGTGCTGACTACTCTTCCAGAGGACCCATTCTCAGTATCCACATGGCAGCTCATAACTGTAACTCCAGTTCCTGGGGACCTGACACCCATGACAAAACACCAATGCACATAAAATAAAAAATTTAAAAAAAAAAATTAAAACTAGACCTGGTGTCCATGAACTCAGGAGGTAGAGGCAAGAACATCAGAAATTCAGGGTAACCCTTAACTATGTAGCAAGCTCTAGGTCAACCGGGACTTCATGAAACCCTGTCTCAATCTCCCCAGCCCCCCAAAAAAACCCAATTCTCCTTTAGCTTTCCCTATCCACTTCCCAGCACAATTCTTTGTGTGTGTCCTCCTTTCTGCTCCTCTGAGAACTCTGGGGTTTTGCATGATTCCACAGAGATACCCTTCCCTCTCTTTGCCTATGCCGACTGCTCCTTGGGTTTCAGTTGAGTGCAACCTCTGAGATTTGTGAGAGAGGGCAATGCAGTTGTGTTGTGGTTTAGCTATGAAATGTCTCCCCTAGGCTCCTGCATTCAATTCTTAGTCCCCATCTAATGATGTTGGAAAACTTTAGGAGGTGGAACTTGGTGGAGGAAGATCTGGGAACGTGGTACGGACCCCATTTTGTTTGGAACCCCATTTTGTTCCGGACCCGTGTGTGTGTGTGTGTGTGTGTGTGTGTGTGTGTGTGTGTGTGTGTGTGTTTCCTCCAAGCTGGTAACTGCTCTGCCCAGACACACCCTTCCCACCCTGCCATTAGGAGCTGGGACCTCGGAAACTTTTAAATCTCTTCCTCCCTCAAACTGTTTATTTCAGGAATTTCATCTCTGCAATAAGAAAGCTGATGAGAATTAGTATGACTTCATCACAAGCGCCGGTTTGATGTGGTGCTGGGGATCAAACCCACGGCTGAGTGCATGCTAGGTGAGCACTCACCACGGAGGATGGAGATGAGAAACCAGGTTCAACTCCCAGCTCTGCCACTTCCTCCTGGTATAGCCGTGGACAAGCTATTAAGCTTTCTGGGCCTGCCTTCAGATTCTTATTTGCTAAAGGATCTATACAAAGCCTGTTGTGAAGATTAAAAAAAAATCAATACATATATATTGTCTATGGTATTGTCTCTGATTTCCTGACCCTAGACTATCATATGACTATTTGCCAAGTGTTTCTCCTTTATAACATCTCAGTATACCATCTTCCCCCTGAAATGGTTGTCCACCTGCCCAAATTGCCAGACTGCCAACTCCTGGTGGGCAAGGGCTTTGGCTTTGATCATAGTTGTACTCCTAATGCATAGCACACAGTAGGTGCTCACATTTGTGAGGTCAATGACTACAAGTCCCACTTACTAGTTATCCTGGTGACACTGCCGCTCATGTCCACCATGAAGAAGGAAAAAGGTAAGGGTTTTTTTTTTTGTTTGTTTTTTTGTTTTTCGAGACAGGGTTTCTCTGTGTAGCTTTGGAGCCTATCCTGGCACTCGCTCTGGAGACCAGGCTGGCCTCGAACTCACAGAGATCCGCCTGCCTCTGCCTCCAGAATGCTGGGATTAAAGGCGTGTGCCACCAACGCCCGGCTAAAAGGTAAGGTTTTTAAGACTGAGTACAGCTGACTTGAGCTGCAGCTAAATACCAGTCACAGAGACAACTTGGTATTTAGGAAAATATCTTTATTGTTTTTTTAAATGTCCCACTATTTGATTTAAAAATCATAATAGTGGCTTTTACACAAACTTTACAAATTGTAGAAAATGATTTCCTCCTTCTCTATGGAAACTTCATTTTCATTCAACACGGTTCTTTCCTGGTTGAAGCCTGGCAGGAAGGAGGAACTAAACAACACAGCACAGATAGCTGGGGCTCTCTGTTCACACACTGAAGCTCAGGATGAGTCCCAAAGATGAGGGCTCCTCCAAGGGAGACTCAGACAATGAAGATACATAGCCAACTGAGGCAGGATTCTGTCTTGAAGGCCCGTGGGCCCCTGAAGGCCGAGAGTGTTGTATATCAAGGCAGCTTTGTGGGAATGATGACCCTAGTGAGCCTATGGCTTGGATCCTTCGCTCTAGAACACAGCCATGAAAGAGGCTGTGGACCCAGGCCACATGGTGCTCCCAGTTTAGACATCTCCCCTTTTATTCAGCTCACAGAGGCTAATTTGTCAGTTACTTAAAAACAAACAACAACAAAAACAGAAAACAAACATTTGGTTCCTTTTCAGCTGTAATCAGCAGTTGGTCATTTTTAGAAAAGGATGAAGGAGTTGCTAGTTGTTAGGTCTGCATTTTGTTATCCTGCTGTGGCTCCTTCTCTTGTGTGGTGAGAAGGGAGGGAGGTACAGCTGTAGCAGAAATCATTTGTTGATCTGAGAAAAACCATTCAAATGTTTTACACCCGCAGACTAAAGCTGATGGAATCCTCAAACGATCCCACTGATTTTTATGGGAAACACGACTGTCCCTCTTGGGTATCTCGAGTCAAAACAAGGCAACCGCCTAATGATTTATCACCCCCGTTGCACACATTCTGTCTTCCAAAAGGCATTAGAGAAAGGGCCAGCCTCCATCTGAATGATTGTAAACACACCACCGACAGCTTGGACACTTTGCTTTTAAATGCAACAGGAGTTACTTTTCCCTTTGGCCCTGGCTTAAGAGCCACCTCCCTAGACTATTTAGGAAAAAGCAGATGGGAGGGTACCCTGAAACTGACAAGTGAGGGGCCAGGGGTCCCCATTGACTGAACTGTGGCTGGACAATCAGTACATTTATGGCATATGAAAACTGTCCTGTGTACCCCCCTGCATCTGGTCCCCAAACTGGACCTGGCTGGATATGAGATACAGGAGGTAGAGGACAAGCTTCCGTAAGGCACACGGTGAGTGGCCCCCACTCCAAGTGCCTGTGATCATCTCTTCGCTCGGTTCCAGAAGTGTTGGAAAGCAGAGGAGTTGGTGACACTCACAACGAGCAGCAGCAGCAGATACAGGGACATCATGACCATGAACCAATGGCTGGACAACCAGGAGAGCTGGCTTGAGGCCCTGCCCAGAGGGAAAAAGAGTGTTGGCAACTCGGGAAAAACATTTTTGTTTTAAGTGTATGCAAGAAGTTCTGGCTCAGAGAACACGACATGATGAATTTCATCCTCTGTGAGCCTTGAAGTAAAGCTTCGTGCGGCTCTGCTCGAGAGATCTGGGGCTGTTTGCCCTGGCACCGCCAACTTGCCTTTCAACAGAACATTTTCTAAATGCACAAGGACAGCTATGCAATGAGCTCACCCACTCTTCCCTTTTTAGCTCCTCTAGTACCTTTTATAACTCATTTTTTTCTTAAGCAAGGATTTGGTATCTAAAAGGATGTCCCAGCTCAGGGTGTCTGCACAGACGGTGACAAGTTACCGAGCAAAGGTCTTTTCTACATGAGCAGATACAAATCTGAACTGGGGGAATCTTTTTGGTTTGGTTGTTTTTTTAAGACAGGGTTTCCCTATAGCTTTGGAGCCTGTCCTGGAACTCACTCTATAGACTGGGCTAGACTCGAACTCACAGAGATCCACCTGCCTCTGCCTCCCGAATGCTGGGATTGAAGGCGTTCACCACCGCCAGCTCGTATCGTTTGCAATGCTGGGGATGGAACCCAGGGCCTTTGTATGCTAGGCAAGCACTCTACCACTGAGCTTCATCCTTGACATCAACTCATTAGAGAGATGAAGATGAAGCTTCTGAAGCCCTCAGCAGGTCACTGTGGGAAGCAGCTGAGCTGCACATCCTCAGCCACTGTCTGGTTCCCATCCTGCCTCTAGGTTCAGTCTCTGGAACAGAGTTCAGACAAATCATGGGCCCAGGGAGCCCTAGTCTGACTTTCATGTACCCCTCCAACAGGCTTGTTTCCAAATTGATCTCCATTAGAATGTTTGGTCCCCTTGGAGTCAGACACACACACACAAACACATCTTCTCTGACATCCCTACCTCAGGTGTCCAGTACTATGGGGTGTGCCCATGCTTTACACACATGGGAGGGCTGAGACTGGGGGAAAGGCGACGCTGATGACTGAGCAAGGGACACTCTGAACACAGTAGCCATCTCCTAACCTCACACTGAACACAGTAGCCATCTCCTAACCTCACACAGGGACCATCAACTTACCTCTTGGGCTGCTTCTGGGAATACACCAGAAGGTATTTCACCCGCAGAAGCTGGTTATTGGTAACTACAAAGTACTTAGGAGGGACATCTCCCCCTTCGCTGTGCTTGATTCTTGCTCTGTTGCGGTCAATCTCCTTGGAATCTGGAAAAGGAGAGTGAAGCACACTTTGTCGGGTGGGGTGTGGGGATGGGGAACACAATAGCAAAAGAAGCAAATTAGGAATAGAAATGAGTCAAGGTCCATGGTCCGGAGGCACAAAGTCAGCAGCCTGAGGAATGCGCCTGCGTTCATGTGAGAATCAGCACAGAGAATGAGAGACTCCGGCAGGCAGGAAAAAGGGATAGGAAAATAGAAGACAAGAGAAGAAAACCTCTGAGACAGCAGATGGACGTCACATACCCGGGGACCCGGACCAGGACTCATCAGGGAGTGGATGGAGTAGGACCACTTATTTATCTGTCTGCAGACAAGTCTCATGCACCTGAACTCAATACCTAGCTAAGGGTGACCTTGAACTTCTGACCCTCCTGTCTCCACCTTCTGAGTGCTGGCTTGCAGGCTCCTACCATCATACCAGGCCCATGCTGTGTTGAGAGTGGAACTCAGGGCCTCACACTTGCCAGATGAATACCAATTGAGCTGCAACCCCAGGGCCTAGGAGGCATTCTGAAGTTGCCACACCAGATTTGAGTTCTCAGAACACTTACTTCCACCAGGCCTGGTGGAGCACAACTGTGACCCCAGCATTTTTTATTTATTTATTTTGACAGGGTCACACTATGTAGCTCTGGTTATCCTGGAACTCGCTATGGAAACCCACCTGCCTCTGCCTCCAGATTGCTGGGATAAAAAAAGGCTTGTGCTACTACGTGGCTTGATCCCAGCACTTTAAACGCAGTGCTTGAGAGGGAGGCAGAGACAGGCAGATTTCCTGTGAGCTCAAGGCCATCCTGGTCTACGCAGTAAGTTCAAGGACAGCAGGGCTACTATGTAGTGAGATTCTATCTCAAAAACCACAAATACAAAAACAAATACTTCCACCTCTGCTACCAAGACTTTTGTTTGTTTGAACTTGCTATGTAACTGAGGATAACCTTTAGCTCCTGACCCTCCTGTCTATGTCCCAGATACTGGAATTATAGATATTTATCACTATGCCCTGCCCAGGATTTAAAACAACAACAAAAAAAGTTTTTTTGAGACAGGATCTCACTATGTAACTCCATCTAGACTGGAACTATGTAGACCAGGCTAGTCTTGTACTCACAGATCAGCCTGCCTCTGCCTCTCAAGTGTTGAGATTAAAGATGTGTACCACCATGCCTGGCTTTGTTCTTTTACTTTTTTAGGATTTTGTTTGAGACTGGGTCTAATGTAGCCAAGGCTGACTTCAAACTCACAAAGTAGCTAAGACTATCCTTGATCTGCTAATTCTCCTGTTCCACGTCCTACTTGCTGAGATTAGAGGCTCGTGCCATCACAACCAGCAAAACTTTTCTTTTGCTTTTTTGTTGTGGATTTTCTGTGTATGTGTGAAATGCTGAACGCAGAGCCTTGCACATGCCAAGCAAATATTTTATCTCTGGTCTGAGAGGGAGGGAGGGTACTCTTTTCTTTTAATAACACTAAAGAGCTTTACCAAACACAAGCCAGGGCTCTGTGGCAGCAGAGGCAGAGCAGTTTTGTTTTGATGTTTAATGTCCCCATATGCAAACTTGCTAAGAATTACGAATTCGATGGAGTGTTCGTGCTGTCTGGTTTGGGAGGGTGGCGTCAGACCTGGGCCTGTTCCTTGGGACCAGTTGTTTCACATTAGAGGCCAGAACAGTTTGTGTCTTGAATTCTCTTCTTAGTAAAGCCAACAGCCCAGTTTGGAGACTGGAATGACAGTCCTGTGACTCTTCTGCCTTGGAGGAGGGTGGCCCAGAGGGAGGCACTGGGCACGAGGTCCAAGGGACACCTTAAGCCAGCGGAGTTGAGGTGGCTGCTAGCTATCTGCTCCTGCAGAGTCCATGGCCTCAGATGCCCCTCTGGTCATCTGGGGATTCCAGCACACTCCAGTATAGCTCAGAGGATCTGGACCCGTTATCCTTAGCTTTTGTTTTGCAAACCTTTATTGAATGTTAAGTGTATACCAGGTTCTCTGTTGATGCAAGTGCCCAGAAATAATACCAAAATTCAGCCAGGTAGTGGTGGCGCGTGCTTTGATCCCAGCACTTGGGAGGCAAAGACAGGCGGATCTCTGTGAGTTCAAAGCCAACCTCGTCTACTGAGCGAGTTCCACGACAGCCTCCAAAGCTATAGAGAAACTCTGTCTCAAAAAACCAAACCAAACAAAATCTGACTCTTAAGGAGCCATGTCCTCCCTCACCTTACCTACTGGCTTCCATTTGTCAAATCTTTTTTTTTTTTCATAATTTTGGGTTTTTTTTCTTTTTTTGGGGGGGCTGTTCAAGACAAGGTTTTTCTGTGTAACAACCCTAGCTGTCCTAGAACTGTATTTGTAGACCAGGCTTGCCTCAAACTCACAGAGATCTGCCTGCCTCTGCCTCCCAAGTTCTGGGATTAAAAGTGTGAGCCACCAACCAGCTTTTTTTTTTAATTTTTATTTTATACGTATGTTATGCATGTATGTATATTCACCACATGTCTGGTACCCATGAGACCAAAAGAGGATGTTAGATCCTCTGGAATTGGAGTTACAGGTAGTTGAGAATCCCACAGTGTGGGTTCTGGAACAGGGCTCAGGTTCCCTGGAAGAGCAGTAAACACTCTTAACCACTGAGCCTCCATTTGTCAAATCCTGCCTCCTTCCCAAGTTTTTCCTGACTACTTGGACCCACTAAGCTACCCCTTGACACCACCACCCCCCTGCATTCCCTGACTCTACCTATAGTATGCGATCTTTTTTTTTTTTTTTATCATGTGTTCAATCCCTGAGAACCATGTCCCTCCTTGCAGACCAGCCTCTGTTCTATACTGCCCTGGACCAACCCATCCCTAAGCATGCAAGGGCCCTCTATCCCACACCTGAGCCAGTAGCCAGGCCTGGGTCAAATTCTCACTTACCCTTCTTCTTGGTTTGGCACTTGACATCGGGATGATCGATGACCTCACACACAGCTACACAGCTAAGGATTGGGCCAAGGAGGCTATGTTGCCACCCATGGCCGTGAGGACTGTAAATGAGGGCCAGGCTCAAGTCACTTGTGAGGTAGGTCCCTTCTCCAAACAAAGATGTCTGGAACAGCAGAGGCAAAAAGAAAAGAAACACATATAAGTGACACCAGATGGTATATGTCCTTCTTCCACAGAGCTATAAACATAAAAATGTTCACACTACCTCCACCCCTTTAAGACAAATAACCTCTGACGACATCATAGGGCTTATTACTAAACACATTCCGATCTGATAATGGTTTAACTGACTTTGGATCTGGCCACCTAGCCTGGCAAAGGATTTGTACCTTGTGATCAAGGTTGAATGGAAAAAACAACAACCATATCAGCGTTCAAACAGACCTCAGTTTCAATGTTCCAAAGAGTTACATAAATTCTGTGTTTTAGATTCTGCATCTGTAAAATGGTATAAAAGTTCCTCCTGCATAAGCTATGACCATGATTCAAAGACATAAGGTAGGGGGTGTAGCTCAGTGGTAGAGCTCTTGCCTAACCCTTCAATCATACACATACACACACACACACACACACACACACACACACACACACACACACACACACACACACACAATGTATATAAAACAATGTGCATTTGAAGGCTATGTGGCACATAAGAGATGGTGACAGTCACAGGGGGCATGCCATCACAGGTGCTGCTGTTATAATGAACAGAGTAATTCCCATTATATCAATGCATTAGTTTGCTACTTAGGGGTTTGCAAAAGCAGAGTTACATCCTATTACTTTGAAAAAGAAACTAGTTTCTTTGATCGGAAACTGGGACTAAATGAAGGATCCGGCATGAGAGGCAGAATTGAGTTTTCCTCTGTGTTGTTGCAGACTAAGAAAACATCCAAGAATCTAGGCTTCAGCTGCCTGACAAGGGGTGTTAAGTTGGTTCCCTCCCTAAGGAAGAGTGGCGGGGAAAGCGGAGCCTACAACAGGCAGAGGGAATGCAGTCTTCCTTCCCTACGGCAGGCACCAATGACTGATCACCACTCAGTCACAATGACATCCATCACGGTGCTGAGTCGCACTGCTTCAGAACACTTCTCATCACACTCCAGAAGTCTCCATCGATGGGTGATGGACTTTGGTATTCAAGTTGAAATTCGATTGCTATCTGTGGACACCAGTCCCAGTATCTTGGATAACACTACTGGACTCTAGGAGTTCACTGAAATACATCCTCTGCTCTGGAACTGAGAAATGGCCTACCTGTGGCTTGAGGCAAATGAAACAAACCTCTGCTTGACCTCTGGAAAGCGCCCATGCCATGGTGGACAATGTCCCCATCACTCAAAAGCTGACACAGACCATCTCCAGGGACAGGGAAAACACCCTCAGATCAGACCCCACAGCAGTTTTGCAGTTTGCAGTTTTCTCTTTCTTTTTAAAAATATTTATTCTCTCTCTCTCTCCCCCTCTCTCTCTAAGAAGAGGGAACAGACTGGAACAGCATAAGTTCCTTTGCCCAGGCCTGCACCGCTGTCCATGGCTGTTTAGCTGAAGTAGACTGTTATCCTACTCCTACTCCTTCCTAAGGGGTAGAGTAAGTGTGTATGTGTGTGTGTGTGTGTGTGTGTGTGTGTGTGTGTGAGAGAGAGAGAGAGAGAGAGAGAGAGAGAGAGAGAGAGAAAGAGGTAAGAAGACAACTTGTGCAAGTTGGTTCTCCCTTCTGCCATGTGAGTGCCTGAGATCATCCTCAGGTCATCAGGCTTAGCAGAAGTCACCTTACCCATTGAGTCATCTCTCTGTCCCTGCACATTAATCCTTTATTTAAGTTCTACATATGTCCTCAGCTTCTGGAACTCTAAACCTGTGCCAGGCTGCTGTGAGCAGAGAGCACAAGAGAGTCCTGGGGCATTTTCGCCCCCAAGACAACTTCACAGCTTCCCTCTGGTACACGAGCTACCTCAAAGGAGCCCCTTCACTGAAAACTCAAGGAGATGCCAAAGACCCGCACCCATTTAACAAGCCCTCCCAGATTCACCTAAATGGCGCACTGTCTGGGCACCTGAATGAAGGTTTAGTGTAGGAAAATATAAACTAAAGGCAACTTCTCTAGGCAAGCTTCAGGGTAAAACAGAGACCCCTGGATTCCAGTAGCCTGGTCATAGCAATAAGCCAAGGGCCAGCACAAACAAGCCCGTCATCCTCACCAGAACCCACCAGCACTAATCAGATGCAGAAGGGCTGGAAGCAGCTTCTCCAGCCTCGGGGCTACATCAGCCCCAGCTGAGGCCAGGCTCCCGGAGCCAGCCCATCAAGACAAGACAGACGATGCTCTGCCTGGGGAGGGCCCACAGCACCCACTACCTCAGATGCCCTCTTCACTGGCCTACAAAAGCAGCTGGTGTCTCTCCCAGAGCTTAGGAAATGAAGAAGCCTTTGCACATACAAGCCGCTCCAATCCTTTTGTGTGCTCACAGGGTAGTGGGCAACAGTAGAGGGAACAGACTGGAACAGCATAAGTTCCTTTGCCCAGGCCTGCACGGCTGTCCACGCCTGTTTAGCTGCAGTAGACTGTTATCCTACTCCTACTCCTTCCTAAGGGGTAGAGTAAGTGTCAGAAGGAAGAGGTGGTTGACAGTTTTGACTCATAAATATGAGAGGAAAACAGTTTTGGGGAAGGACCTCCTCTTACTGAATCTTGGCACACCCTGCAATTTCTCAGGGCCGTCAGGAGCTCAGCAATGCTTATGGTCACCTGGGATTCCTATTAAAGTGTGGGTTCTCACCGTGTCATCCAAGGCAGGCCTGAGGCTTCACATTTCCAACAAAGTGCTCCTGGGTAATGCTTACGTGCCGGTCCAGGGTCCACACTGTGTCACCAGGGCGGGTCACACATTAAGACCACTGGAAGAGTTGGTAAAGCACACTGATGACCCCACCCCACAGTATCTCAATTAATGGGTCTGGGATTCAGTTAGCATTGGGATTTTTGTTTGTTTTTGTGAGACAAGGTCTCATGTAGCCCAGGCTTCAGATGAACTTCAGATCATCTTACCTCTGCTTTCCTAGTGTTAGGATTATAAGCGAGTGGTCAATTATGCAGGTGCTGGGATTGAACTCAGAGCCTAATGCGTACCCAGTAAACATTCTACCAACTGGATTACATCCCAAGTTCTCTGGTACTGATATTTTTGTTTCCTTTATTTGATTTTTTTTTTTTTTTGTATGTTTGAGAGTCTGCTTGTCTATTTGGGTACCACGTATGTGCAGTGCCTTTGGAGGCCAGAAGAGGGTGTTGGATAACTACAGCTAACAGGCAGTAGACACCCAGTGTTGATGCTGGGAATTGAACCCAAATCCTATGTAAGAGCAGCAAGAATTCTTAGCTCCTGAGCCACTTTTCCAGCCCCAGCGCTGGGATTTTTAAAAGCTTCCCAAGTGATCTAAATGCAGAGCTAAGTCCAGAAACCACAGATGCTTCCCCAGCCATAATCAGCCCATGAATCTCCCAGAGATCCTATCAAAACACAGGTGGCCCCCGGATTCAGAAGGTTCACGGTGGGCCTGAGATGTTACATTTACTCAGGTGACCAGGTGACCGTGCTGCTAGGCTGCAGACCACTCCAAGTGCTATGGCCTTGGTAAACCCATCTTACCCACGTACTCCCCACCAAGCAGCCCCTAACTGGGTCCCAGCACACCCTTGCCATGCTCTGCAGGGGGTTGCAGGCCCACCTTGTTTAGGTGGCAGTGTAGACCGTTGTGGATGATGGAGTGGAAGTTCTCCAGGCGGCTGCCATGGAAGGCATAGATGAGGTCTCGTTCTCCTTTGGTCTCATAAAATCTGGTGTTGGCCAGGTCAAAGTACTCAATTTCAAATAGGAAGTCCGGAGTGGGAACAGGCAAGTGAGAGGCACCAGTCAGCTTCTGGATCTTTTCAAACTTGAAAACATGAAAGTGAAACATGAAGGGACTCACAGTTTTGCTTGGGACACTGGTAAGTGTGCTGCACACATGTCCTCCTAATGGCCAGTATGCTGGCACAAGCCTGTATTACCAGTACTTGGGAGGTAAAGTCAGGAAGACTGTTCAAGTTCAAGTTCATCCTCAGCTATATATCAAGTTCAAGGCCAGCCTGGGCTACATGAGACAAAAGAAGGGAAGGAGGGGTAGAAGGGAGAAGACAGACAAAAGGTCTCTTAAACCTCGGGCTCCCCCCACCCCCCATCAGCTTGCCCATCAGAACAGTTAGTGTCATAATTCTGAAGATGTTCCACTATAATCAAGCTCAGAGGTTCTGACAGATCAAGAGTGCTTCTCTCTAAGGGTACTTATGGGCAGGGGAGAAGCATGAACTGCTCCTAACCCAAGGAATACCTCTCCCTCTCTCTCCCTCCCTCTCTCTCTCTCTCTCTCTCTCTCTCTCTCTCTCTCTCTCTCTCTCCTTCAGTTTTTAAGACACTATCTCATGTAGCCCACATTTGACTGCTTCCAAGTACTGGGGTTAAAGCATGCGTCACACACCTGGCTCAGAAATCACTTCTAATGTTCCCAGTACTTTTCAGGTTTGGGTAGTAGCCCACATCTGCAATCCAGCTATCAGGAGGTTTCAGAAGGGGGATGGAAAGTTCTAGGTCAGCCTGGGTTCTACAGCAAGACCCTGTCTCCAAAAAACAAAACCCTGACAACAAAACCAACACTTTCCCATCTGTTCCTGTGTTTCTCATGAGGCAGAAAGCTGTGACAAATGGCAAAAGCAGCCACAGAATTCCCCTCTACCTCTGCCTGTGCTCCTTCAAGTGTGGCTCTGCAGGTGGGATTTCCCCCAGGATGGCATCCAGACATGGAATCTATTCCTCAGCACTTGAAGCTGGCTGTCCACAGATTTGTTTTGATCAATGGGCCCTTAGCACAATACACGGCAGAGGCTTGCAAAGGGTTTGTCCTTCCTTGCTGATGGCCGTCACCTTACCCAGGCCAGCCTCAGCAAAGTGAGAGCCTCACAAAGGGAGGGCTCAGCCATGGCAGCCATCCCGAGTAAAGCCCAGAAATGCAAGCAAAATTACCCTAGAACATCCGCTCCAAAGAGCCATCTAAGAGTCACGACCTCAGAGTCACGACCTCAGAGTTATGACTTCAGAGTCATGAGATGCAACCAGCACTTTCATTTCACCATTTAAAGTCACCAAACTACAGGGTGGTTTGTTATCCAGCAAAAGCTGACTGGCACAGATGCTGAAACTCCTTTTTTAAGTATTAATTTTTTTCTTTCTTTTCTTTTTTTTTTAATTTCTTTGCTTTTATATTATATGCATTGGTGTTTTGCCTGTAGGTACGTCTGTGTGAGTGTGTTAAGTGTATCTGGAGATACAGACAGTTGTGAGCTGCATGTGACTGCTGGCACTTGAACCTGGGTCCTCCAGAAGAGCAGTCAGTGCTCTTAACCACTGAACCATCTCTCCAGCCCCTGTTTTTCTTTTCTTTTTTCCTTCCTTCCTTTCTTTTTTTTTTCTTTTTGGTTGTTGTTTCAAGACAGTTGTTTTCAAGACAGTGTCCCTCTGTGTATCCCAGGAACTTGCTCTGCAGACCAGGCTGGCTTCAAACTCACAGAGACCCGCCTGCCTCTGCCTCCTGAGTGCTGGGATTAAAGATGTGCCACCACCACCCCAGTTGCCAATCAGAAGACAGAACAGCAGTCCAGGAACCACATGACCCACTGTGGACGTTGTTGTCCCAGCCTATTCCTGAGAGCCTCCAGCCAGGCAGGAAAACTAAATTATAGGACATCTCTCTTCTGCCAGAAACTTTGTTAAGGTAACACCCTTTCTGTTACTGCTCCTCTTGGAGATAACTATGGTCTCACCTTACAAAAGGGGCTCAAAGCCGGGCGTTGGTGGTGCACGCCTTTAGTCCCAGCACTCGGGAGGCAGAGGCAAGTGCATCTCTGTGAGTTCGAGGCCAGCCTGGTCTCCAGAGCAAGTGCCAGGATGGGCTCCAAAGCTACACAGAGAAACCCTGTCTTGAAAAACAAAAAACAAAACAAAAAACAAAAATAAGGGGGGGGGCTCAATAATTGACCAAATAGGATTTGAACCCCAAAAACTGAAGTATCCCACGACTTTGGGATACTTTACTGTTTAATAGCCAGACTAAGTCAATTCCTTTCCCTTCCCTTCTTCTCCCTTCCCCTCCCCTTCTGTTCTCTCCAAGTGCTCAAGATAGAACTCCAGACCTAGCCCACGCTAAGAAGTGTTCTGCCACCAATGGACATCCCTAAGGCATGACCAGGGCCTTCACTTAGCAGAAGTGCCTGCAACTCTTGATGGATGTTTGAGCCCTCTGTATGTGCTCCAAGTGGGAAAACTCATTCCCATAGCTGATGTACAGTCACCCAACTGAAGTACACCATAGTTACTCCCATTTCACGGGAGGAGACACACGCTGAACTGAACCTGCCAGTGTGTAAGTTCCTGGGGCTCTTCAGACATACAACGAGAATCTTCAAGAGTGCTGTATTCTCAGTCATCTGCCCAGTGGTACACAGGGAGGAGGTGCTGTCCCGAAGCAGTCAGCCTTAGGAATCTGTGACCTACATGCCAAAGCCTCACCTCTGCCTTCTCTGCGCTGTGGATTGTCAGGATCTTTGAAGATAAAATCCAGCTCACCAGGTCCCAGGCCTGTTTGTCTGTGTCTCTGGGGGACTGGAGAAGTTCCTTCAGGTTGGGTAACCGGCCAGCATCAGCAAGCTGAAAGGAGAAAGAACCTCCATTAGCAAGGATCCCAGAAAAAAAACAAAAAAACAACAAAAAAAAAAACAAAAAAAAAAACAAAAAAAAACCCGGTAATTGAACACCCTCTAGTGGTGATGTGGAAAACGTCACTCCTTCTGTCTGGAGGAATTTTAGATCAGTCTCCTGAAATCTTTTAATTCTACAGGGTTTTGTTTTGTTTTATTCACTTGGTACAAAACATGACCTGAGCTGATGTCAGGTTTTGGTCTTCGTCTTGTTATAACTGATGCCCTTAGTTGCAAGGTGGCAGGAATAACTGAATGGGTGGTCCCTACACCTTGCTGAATGGGTGGTACCTACACCATTCCCCTTCCTGAACACAATGGATTGATGTTATTCTTATTCTTTGTTCCCACTTCCTGCCTCTTCCATTCCTAATCCCGTCCAGGAAGGTGGTCTTTCTTACTGAGCACCTACTCAGTGCCAGGCCTGTAGATCTGGGAGGCATTAGAGACAGGAATCGTGGTGAAATGGAGAAGGAAGCAAAATAATCCTTATTTAAAAGTATTCACTGGCTGGGCAGTCATGGCGCATGCCTTTAATCCCAGCACTCAGGAGGTAGATCTCTGAGTTGGAGGTCTGCCTGGTCTGCAAAGCAAGTTCCAGGACAGCCAGGGCTACAAGGAGAAACCCTGCCACTGGAATAAAAAATATTCACCCTCTGGCTTGTGAGAATGTTCGGCAATTAAAGGTGCTTGCTGCTAAGCTTTGACAACATTAGTTCCATCTTCAGGACCCACATAGTGGAAGGAGAGAACTCCCACACTTTGACCTACACATGTCCACAAACACACACACACACACACACACACACACACACACACACAAATAAGTTAATTAAAGCTGAGATGGGAGGATCAAGAATCAAGGTCCACCTGGGTTAGCTACCTAGTGATTTTAAAACATGCTTGAACTATATGATGAGACAGAGTTAAAAACAAAAAATGCTGGGCATGGTGGCATGTGCCTTTAATCCCCAGCACACAGGAGGCAGAGGCAGCTGTATCTCTATGAGTTTGAGGCCTGCCTGATCTACAAAACTGAGACTGTTACACAAAGAAACCCTATCTTGAAAAAAATAATAATAATAATAAAAATGTGACTCAGTGGCAGATTGCTTGCCTAGCAATGCAGGGTCCTGGGTTTAAACCCCAGTGCTGGAAAAATAATATTCTGTAGTCAGGGCTGGAAGCACACCCTTGTAATCTCAGAGTCAAGAACCTGAGACAAGAAGGTTGCTGTGAGCTTGAAGCCAGCCTGAACAACAAAGTGAGACACTACCTATATGACAAAAGACTGGTAGTGTCACTCCATTGGCGAAGTTGCATCAATGGATGTAAGAGACCCTAGGCTTGATGCTCTCGGCACTACATTTAAACCACAAAGCAACACAATACTATAGTCCTGGTATTCAGGAGAAGGTGAAGGCAGATTGGGAGTTCAGGTCATTCTTAGCTATATAGCAAGTTCCAGGCCAGTCCAGGCTCCATAAAACCCTATCTGGAAAAAGAAAGAAAAGGAGGGAGGGAGAAAGAGAAGAAGAGAGGGAAAGAGAAAAAATAGTAACAAAGGACACTCAATATGAACCCACTGGGCTCATATTCAGTTTGTTTGTTGCTTTATCCATTGCATATTTGTTAACCCAGAACCGGAGCTCAGCCACTTCCTTGGCTGCCCAGCACTCCTCCTCTCACTCTGTGCACCACAGCCCTATCCACAATCCAGACCTGGGCTCAGAGAGCCCCACAAAAGAACAGTAGTTAGACCTCTTTTAGGGACTTTGTGCAAATGCAAAAGCCCTCTACCAGCTCCAGTCTGGACCCAGGTCCCACCCCAGCTCCTCTGTAGGAAGCCATCTCCCAGGCCCTCCCCCTGCCATCTGCCCTGACAGGACCCCTGCTGCGCCCTGCCCTCTTGGCCCTCCATCTGCCCACCCTCTAGCACTCTTCATGGCCCACTTCACTCCATTATTCTGCTCTAATAAGCTAAGAGTCTTCCCTGTCTACATTGCAGTCAGACCTTTGGAGGGAAGACACACAAGTAAGGCTACCAGACAAAATACAGTATGCCCGGTTAAATGGGTGTTTCAGATGAACAACAGTAAAAAATGGGCACGGTGGTACAGACCTGTACTCAAGAGGCAGGAAGACCACACAGACAGGGCCAGCCTGGTCTATGTTGGGAGTTCCATGACAGCCAAGGCTACACAGCAAGAATTTGTTTCGGTGCAAAAATATCCTATGTGATATCTGGGGCATAGTGTCTCACTATATAGTCTAGGCTCACCTGTAACTCACTGTGTAGAACAGGCTAGCCTCAAACTAGGAGTGATCCTCAAGCTTCATGCTGTCAAGTCCAAGGACTATCGGTGTGTGCCACCATGTGACACAGGCAAGCACTCTACCAAGCCAGCTATGTCCTCAGCTCAATAACTCACTTTAGCTGGGCAGTAGTGGTGCACGACTTTAATCCCAGCACTTGGGAGACAGAGGCAGGCAGATCTCCTGCCTCTACACAGTGAGTTCCATGACAGCCAGGGCCACACAGAGAAAGCCTGTCTTGAAAACCAAACCAAACAAAAACAATAAGAACTCATTTTAAAGGCAAGGAAACTGAAGCTTGGAGTCCTAAGTACCTTGCCTGGTATCATAAAGCTAGCCTGTCCATGTCAGGCAGGGCAAGAATGCATGAAGCCAAGTAACCTGACTCCAGAGTCTCCCTAATCTCAAAAATCCTCTATTGAAGCTATTCTCAACTGTAGGTCAAGACCTCTTTGAAGGGCTAGACCTTTTCACGGGGGTCACCTAAGACCATTGGAAAACACAGATATTAACATTGCGATTCATAACAGTAGCAAAATTATAGTTATGAAGTAGCAACAAAAATAACTTTATTGTTGGGGTCAGCACAACATGAGGAACTACATGAAAGGGCCGCAGCATTAGGAAGGCTGAGAACCACTGCACTACTGAATGATTTTTTTTTTTTTTTTGTATGAATGCTTTGCATGTATACCTGCAGGCCAGAAGAGGGCATCAGATCCTATTATAGGTGGCTGGAAGCCACCATGTGGTTGCTGGGAATTGAACTCAGGATCTCTGGAAGAGCAGTCAGTGCTCTTAACCTCTGAGCTATCTCTCCAGCCCCTAATGAATGGAGCTTTTTTTTAGTGAGAGCCTGAGTATTTTAGCAAAGGAAGAATTGGGCCAGACTTTGCTGCTTGGGAAGCTAATCAATCATATAATCCCTACTCTACCCACCAGCTAATACAACCAAGACACCTACTAGCTGTGCCTTAGGCCTGCCAAAGGCAGGGAAGAAGAAATATACCGTGTGCAGTATGCAATGCAGCAGGAGACAGAGATCCACACCACAGCTTCTGACTGGACGCGTTTACCAATACCTGGGTGGAAGACAGTAAGTATTCAAGGGGAAGGCAGGCAAGAGGTAACTCACTGCGCCAGGGTGTGTGTGTGTGGAAGTGGAGTGATAGGAGGGTTGTGAGAGGCTGAGCAAGTGGACACCCAGATGTGAACAGCAGGGCACTCCAAAGGTGCATCCTGGGCTCAAACACCCCCCAGGGATTTAAAAAAAAGGGGGGGGGTAGAAAATGAGTAAGGGGTGGTCTGGGGGAATGGCTGTTGCACTGGAGACCCCAGTCTCACAAAAGAACCATCTACCACCTTCCAGCTCCAGGTGGCTCCTGTGCAATAAGTCTCAGCAAAGCTTCTGAGTCTGAGACTTTGCTGGTTAAAAAGAAATCAAAGGGGGCCGGGCGTTAGTGGCGCACGCCTTTAATCCCAGCACTCGGGAGGCAGAGGCAGGCAGAACTCTGTGATTTCGAGGCCAGCCTGGTCTACAGAGCGAGTGCCAGGATAGGCTCCAAAGCTACACAGAGAAACCCTGTCTCAAAAAACAACAACAACAAAAAAAAACAAAAAAAAAGAAAGAAAAGAAAAGAAATCAAAGGGTAGGAGATGGTTCAGCAGTTAAGAGCACTTCATGTTCTTCAAGAGGACCTGGGTTCAGTTCCCAGCACCCATGTCAGATGGCTTAAACTGCCTGTTATTCTAGCACCAGGGGACCTGACACTCTTTTCTGGCACCTCTATGCACATTGCATATACTCACAGATACACACATAGATAAGATAGATAGATAGATAGATAGATAGATAGATAGATAGATAGATAGATAGACAGATGATAGGTAGAATTTTAAAACTGAAGGAAAGACAGAAGGAAAGTGACCAATCAATCACTTGAGCATAGTGGTACACCCCTGTAATCCCAGCACTTAGGAAGTAGAGGCAGGAGGCTCTCGGTGGGAGGCTATCCTGGGCTACACAGTGAACTCTTGTCTTCCCAGCCAAAAGATTTACTTTTTATCTTTTATTATATTTATTTATTTGAGATCAGGATTCTCTGTGTAGCCTTAGTTGTCCTAGAACTCAATCTGTAGATCAGGTTGGCCTTGAACTCACAGAGATTTGCCTATCTCTGCCTCTCAAGTGCTGGGATTAAAGAAGTATGCCACCACTGCCCTCTCAAAAAAATTTAAAAAGAAGAAAAGAGGTCAGCAAACTGAGATTTTTTTTCTGAATTCCTAAATTCTAGAAAGCAAGACAACAAACAAATCCAAACAAATCCAGCTAATGCTCTACATTTGTGTGTTTGTCCAAGACAGAGTCTCACTCTACAGCAGAGGCGATCTCTAACTCTCCTGTCTCAGCTTTCCACCAGCTAAAATTTCAGGTATGAATCTCCACGCCTGGCTTTCACAACCCTCACTTCTGCAGTTCTGCTATGGAGACTAAGGAAAGATCCAGCTGAGGAGATGGCTGGAGGAGGTATTCATGGTGGGCAGAGCTGAGAGCTTGTGACTGAGAGCTTGAGACAAAGTCTCAATAACCAGCAAAGAGTGAACAGAGAAGAGAGGCCCAGTGAGCCAGCAGGG